CTCCTGTGGGTGCCAACACAGCCACAGCGGCCGCTGAGCCACCGGGCACTGGCCCCAGGGCGCTCAGATGGGGCCGAGGGACACGGGCATCGGTGCGGTGTGAGCTGGTAGATGGAGTTGTACAAAGAGGGATTTATATATAAAAAAAAAAATAATAAATGTTTCCCTCGGAGAAAAAGCTGGCCCCAGCCACCCGAGGGGCTCAGGCCCGACCCTGCTCCCCCAAATCAGTAAACCGCCCCCCAACCCCGACTACACCGGGGACTCGGCAGCGATAGGTATTTCTCCCTCAATGATTTCCCCATCTCTTCGCTAAGGCGACCCAAGGCCCCAGCGCAGGATGAAAGCGAAACTGACCCGGCCGGTCCGCTTCAAATCGCAGAGGGCCTTATTTCCTTCACGTTTTTACAGGAGCAAAAGTTCAAATATAGTTTACATACCAGTGCAAAAGACTAAGGTGTCCAGTCATCGCTAACTTACTCCAGCCTAACTTGAACTAGAAAATACTCCCCTTTTTTTTTTTTTTTCCCGAACCAGACATATCTCCACTTCCAAACGACTTACTGCAGACCTTTCCCGTTCTCAGAACCCTTCCTTGCATTTCTTGCTAAAAGTGCAGTCCTAAATCAGCAAATTAGGTGATAGGCAAAGTTTTGATCCCACTTTGAAATCACACTAGTTGTACTACGAGGCAATTTGTGTAGTTCTACTACCCTTCCTGCTTTAACATCCTCGGCCATGGAAGGAAATGAAATGTGGTATATTGGGACTGAATTTAGATACCCTTTTAAAAATAAATGGCTATGTATGCTTTTGTGTGTGTATTCTTAGATATCATTGCACATCTATGCTTATAAATACACCACATGCATTTATTTTTAAAGTAGACAATAATTCAGAAATGTGATCTCTTACGAGTTTTGCAACAAAAATATCAGCTATTTTACAAGCTCATCAGCTCCGTTTCAAATGGCTCCTCTGAGGGGGAAAAACACGCTCTCCCTCTGCCATCATTTAAATGCAGTTGCTACTATGTATATGTATTTTTTAGTAGTGAAGAGAGTAATAATTAAAGGCATCTAGCAGCCCGAGCCTCCCGAGTTTGGGAACAGATTCAAGACCCGGTTCTGTGAAGATAAAGGGATCTTGATTGAGTAGCTTTTTCATTTTTGTCCTGTAGTTGCCGATGATTTTATTAGATGGGGGAAGCAAGGAACTTTTTTTGTTTTGTTTTACTTTTTTTTTTTTTTTTTTCTGTAAGGGACCCCCATGTGCAAGGAACTGGGGAAAGTTCGTGACCACTCAGTGTTTTTGTAGGAAAACTAAGACTCACGACACGACGACTCCTGCAGCTTCCTGCCCTAGGAGGGACAAAAGCTACCAATGCAGCGCCGCAGAGCTCCCCTCATTTTTCACTCTAGACTGTGTTGTTTAAAAGCCACCCACTCCCTAGATTAAAGGAGACACAAGCCTCGCTGAACTCAACATGGCCTGCTTCAGTTATTAGCAAAAAGAATTTCCTCTCCAGTTAAATACTGTAGGATTTGCATAAACTATATTAAGGGAGATTTCTATATTAAGCAGACCTGCCCTCGAACCATCAGAGGCAAATGAACTTTTAGCAGAGAGCTTTCCGAGGCAGAAACACATATCTAGGAGTTACATGCTGGGTTTTAATAGAGCTGTTTGACAATGTCATGTTTCCCACGTTGTGCTACTAAAACAAATAACGAAGCAGTAATAAGGTAAACTGCTCCCTACCAAATCCAAACTGTACTGTTGGAAAAATCACAGAAACTGAAAAGAACTCAAAGCCTGTTTTTTACAGCAATTTCCAGAGTGCTTGCTGAAACTGAACTTTCTTAAATATCAGCGTTAACAGCGTTTTTCTGCCTTTAGAACAAAAATAATAACTGAGCCTTTGGCATTCTGTATCCATTCCCAGTCTGCTCGGCTTTAATTTCTCATCCCATAGCATTTACAGCCAAAAGGAAAGCACAGAACGGGAGGTCTTATTGCTTAGATTTTAATCTAGAAAACCTCTTCCTTTGACTCTCTCTTTAACATGTTGTGTGTTTGCAGGTGTGCGTGTGTTTGTGTACATGTGTATTTGTGGCAGGAGAACACAGGATCTAACCATCGTCGTGCAATAGATACGGGAGGGGAGTGGTGCCCAGCGCAGATTAAGGGAGTTCTCGTTACTGAAACGATAACTTCCATCTGACACAATAAGAGTGTCACTCTTTCTCACCTTGCAGAGAGCGCTGCCTGTTTCTGATCATGACATAAAATACTCGCTGGAGTCTGGGCGTTCTCGAAACTCTGAGCTCCTTGCTGCATGTGCTGTAGATGTCACTGCTGTCTGATTGTGCTTGAATTAACACACTGTTTTGACTTCTGGAAAATGCCTAAAGGACAATGCAAAAAGCTTTTGTGAATTTGTTTTTAAAGAAAGAAATCCGGTTTCTTCGTGTTTCCATTTAGAAGGCAGAGAGTGTGTGAACTGTGGAGCAACTGCTACCCCTCTCTGGAGAAGAGACGGCACCGGGCATTACCTGTGTAACGCCTGCGGGCTCTACCACAAAATGAATGGTCAAAACCGACCTCTCATTAAACCTAAACGAAGGCTGGTAGGTGTCTCTGTTTCTCCTGGGTTTGGGGATAAATTAGACAAAGGGACCACACACAGGCACAAGTCAAATGTGTCATATCTGCTCAGCCCCTGCGCGGAGCCGAGCTGTACTGTACACGGGGGTCAGTCACGTCGAGGTCACTGCTGTGCCTGGGGGCAGATCTCCCCCCAGCCCCGGCATCCCCGGCACAGGCCACCACGCCGCAGCTCGCCGAGCGCGCCTCTGTCCCCAGCCTCCCTGCCGCTCACAATACACACGGGATATCGTGTATCCGTCTCCCCGTTTATCCTTGGATGACAGCTTTTAATTTAATTCCTCATTTATTTGTCCCCTTGGGACATTTTGGGCGCATACTGGGAGCGAAAGGGTTATGAGCGTGAATGTCCTCCATCGTGTACTACAAAAAAAGTTCCAGCTCCAAAAAGCAAAACAAATCAGATGAGTCAAAGCTACTGCTCCCTACTTAATAATTATTTGTATAAAAGCCATGAAGTAATTTTCACTCTTATATTCTCTGGCAATATTAATATTGGTTCCCTCCCCAGACAATCCCCTACTGTTTTAAAAAAAAATCCTATTATTTTTCCATGGAGTCACCTATACTTTGTATTTTCATTTGAGTGATTTAAAAAAAATGTCCTTTCTAAGCTCCTGGTAGTAGTTTCCTATCCGGATATCTGTACGTTAAAGATAAGGAAACTTTGTGTATCTGTTTCCTGACTCTAAAAGCTTTAGAGAGTTTCTATAGGCAAGCCTTGCCAGTCATGCTTGCTGTTTTGAAATTTCTAATACACTCTACTCCACAAATAATGCCTAAAATGCTAAGAATAATAAATATATTTTTTGAAGCTTTGTGATTTATGGTGCCTAAGTCTCTTAGCTATTCGTGGGCACGTTTCAATGAGGCTTGGAGAGCAGAAAATTGGCATTACTGCTCTAACACTGGGATGGGATACAGAAGATTTCTGTCATGAGTCAGAATTTCAACTATGCAAGCTTCTTAATGACTTGCCTTCTAAAGTGACTGACATATAAAAAAATGTTAAGACAACAGTGTAACATTATCGTCTCTCAGGCTCAAGTGCTTTCCAGTCTGAATGGAACAGGCCATAGAGTTAAGCAGCATAGTTGAGTATCAGTAAGCCATCTCAAATATGCAAACATAGGTCTCCACCTTCCAAATGTGTTGGGAGACTTATACTTAGCTCACTGCGAGGGGTTTGGGGTGCACTAGAGAGTTTTTCTTCGGTTTAGTTGTTTTAATGTTTTGACTTAATTGATTTACAGCTTTGTTTATTGCCCCTTTTTCCACTGTAGTTTGCTTGTTTGCGGGGGAGAGGAGATGGCCATCTTTGGGAATTTGTTCATCTGACATGCAATAGCAAAGCGATCATATTAATAATGTCAGTGTTTGCAAGTCTGGCATTAATTGTGTTTGGGTTGCATGAGTGTACTTGCAGTAGGGGGTACCCCCTCTTTCTGCCTTTGGCCTGTTCTCACAGGCGAGTAAGGGACTGAAATATATGAGTCTCCCAGGGCCTGATTCTTGCCTTAAGCTGCTGAGCCGTCCATCAGCTTTGGGAAAGTTATAGAGGGCCGTGGTGTAAATCAGGAGCAAGTGAGGACAGAACCCAGTGCTTCTCTTTTGCGAGCTGGGCTGGTCTACACTTCGAGTGGCACCAGCTCCCCAGCAGAGCCGGCAGGCAGAGAAACGCACAAAATTCTTGTCTGGGAAACCTACTGCTCTGTGACTCTGCTCTCTGCTCACGGAGATGCCCTGGACATTAACGTCAGCTTCGCTGCTGCTTCACCCTGTGGCTCTCAGTGGCTTAATTGCAAAAATATCCAGGGAGCAAGGTCCCGGCAAAATTGCCGCAATTGATACGCATTAGAAAGTAAACTCTGCTAATTTAAAAAAAGAAAAAATTGAGTCCTCCACATTAATCCAATTGCACAAAATGGACTGTACTTTGACTGCTTCCAGAGGCAGGGCTGAAGCTTTCTAATACAAAATTATTTCCCAAAATATGGGGTGCAATTATTCTGTCCATAACACTTTATACGATAGCATGCTTGCGCAAAGAACGTATTGTTGTGGGGTCTGCTAGACAAGGGCCCATCCAGAAATTACTGGCTGCCTGCTGTTCTACTTTTCCTGTTCTTGTTTTAGGAGGTGGTTGACTGTTTGGGCATTTTTCTTTCCCCCCCACCTTGGTTTCGGGAGAACAATAGTTTTAGAAAGGGTGGTGGATTTGGGGGGTGGGTGGGTCGCTTTTTTTTTTTTCTTTTTTTTTTTTTTTTTTTTTAGAAAGTTTTTTAAGGGCTTTTTACTGAGTAGGGACAGAGGCGGCAGAGGGGTCAGCGGAATCATTGCTGCAAGGCATGAAATTTGGTTTGCTAAATATTTAAAGAAAGTTGGAGCCGGTTTTGTTTTCTCCCTTTCACTTGTAAATGGAAACTGAATTTTCAGTGATGGCTCTGATAAATACTGCACCCAGTTAAGTAATGCGGTTGGTTTTCTTTTGTGTCCATCTTTAAAGGGCCAGAGTAGGGGTAAAAATCACATTCTTTAAGATCATTCCCTCTTTTCAAACCCAGTCCCAACATTGGCACAAACTAAATCGGTCATTAAAAAAAAAAACCCAACCAACCAAACAAAAAAAAAAAGGCAAATGCATTTTCACAATGCATTCTAAAATCCTGCAAAGGGAAAATCTGAACAAATCAGATGTCATTTTCCCTTCTAAAATTTTTGTTTGTGGAGTTAGAGATGCATTGTTTCTCTCTATATCCCCTGCACACATGGTGCCACAGGGCTTGAAGCTGCAAGTCTGCGTAGTAGAATACTTGAATTTAAACAAAATCCCAATGGCCACAAAATGTGAAACTGATGGGAGCTTTCCTTCAGCCCTGATGCTCTGTAAAATCCATGGGGCTGGTTCTACCCAACCTAAATATTGAGTCCAACTTGATCTTTCTCATGATCTCCCTCCTCCTGCTGATACATTTTTAATTTTCTTTTTCTTTTGGTTAGTCAGCGGCTAGGAGAGCAGGGACTTGTTGTGCCAACTGTCAGACGACCACCACAACCTTATGGCGACGTAATGCAAACGGGGACCCGGTTTGTAATGCCTGCGGACTCTACTATAAATTGCACAATGTGAGTATTTACTCATCTCATGTGTCGCTGCTTGCCTAGCTGGGATTGATGTCTTAACTGCATGGTGTACACTAGGCTTTTATTGGTTTCAGGGTTTTGGTTGTTGTTTTATTCCTTCCCCGGTCTCTAAGGTTCCCCTGGGAAATGACAGCCATTCTTTGTCGGCATAGTGATGCTAAGTTCAGTGACATTACAATGTATTAGCTTGGCTTCTAACGCTTGGGCAAATCAGGCAAAATAGAGCTACCACACTTAGTTTTAACTATGCATGTTTTGTATGCTGTTTCCCCCCAGAAACACGGAGGCCATTTGGAACGGGCTCTGTGCAAAAATTAATCCCGATGGGGCATCTTCATTTTGATTATTATTTTTTTTTCAAAATAATTATATCTAAAGCTTTGTTTTAATTATTTTTTTTTAAATAAATTAATCCTTAGCAGGAATCACTTGACATGTTGGAACGTTATTTAAACTGTAACAGAGGTTACTGGTACAAGATTGCTCATGTCTTAGGACTGAATTCGGGTCAATGTGTGCCTCCTAGTTTGATCTTTTCTATTAGGAAATGAATGAGGACTGAGGGTAAGCCTACGGGAAAGAGAGTCATCAGCTGCCAAATTCAGTTCAATTTGTTTTTCATGTCTAGGGGTTTTTTGTGTGTGTGGTTTTATTAAACAAATCAATATAAACAAGTTCTGCAGAGAGAAACACCATTTTTTTTGGCCAGAAAAAGGTCTCCATCCAGGAAAAACACATAGGGGCTGTCCAAATATTTTCATTTTTGCACAATAAGGTCATTTTGTCTGCATGAGCCTGATTTTCTCATTTCTTGCAGGTGAACAGGCCTCTGACCATGAAAAAGGAAGGAATTCAGACCAGGAATAGGAAAATGTCCAACAAATCAAAGAAAAGCAAGAAAGGCTCTGAGTGTTTTGAGGAACTGTCCAAGTGCATGCAGGAGAAATCGTCTCCCTTCAGTGCTGCTGCCCTTGCTAGTCACATGGCGCCCATGGGGCATTTGCCACCTTTCAGCCACTCTGGACACATCCTACCAACACCTACCCCCATCCACCCATCTTCCAGCATCTCATTTGGACATCCACACCCATCCAGCATGGTTACAGCCATGGGATAAAACCCGATGACCGAGAGACCCAGCCAGAAATTAAGAACATGGGGCTTTGCCTAAGATGACACCAAGTAAGAAAATGTTCTGCCAAGAGGAGAATGTAGGGATGGCAAAAGGAGATCTTTGCTCCCATGTGGTTTAACTCTTAATGCTGGACTAAAACCTTGCAAACGATGGGTCTTCTGCAGAAACGCGTAGTGGTGCCTGTAATGCACTTTGCCCCCTCAGGTATAAGGAAAAAGAACTCACCTGTTCGATACTTAATGGTCCAGCAGGATGCAAAAGGTGGCAGAAGCTGAAGGAAAAGGCTTGGAACTGGCTTTCCTTTTTCTCTTTGTTATTACTGTGAATATTGTAAAGAGATATAAGCAGCCTCCCAGGATGGAATCGGCTTACTGGAAGCCAGACATGCTGGATTTCTATCATGGACTCTGTTTGGGATGGGGAAAAAAAATAATAAAAGAAAAAAAAATTAAAAAAGGACATCTTTATAAAAACGTAATTTTTAAAATGAAATCAGACACAAAGTCATATTTATTTTGCTCTTGTTTTCCACAAAAGGCCTCAACCCTCCGATTGCATGTTTTTGTGCTGTTGTTTGTAATGGTAAGAAAACCTGCCTTCAAAACAAGGGGAAGAGAGGGGAACATACTCAGCAGCCCCCTTGGATTAGTTCCATCTATCTTCCATACAAAAATATCTACTAGGAAGGGGGAAAAGACTGGGGGGGAGAATGAAGCAAAAATGTAACTGTAATATGGGATTTTAATGTGCCCAAGGTGGTGATTATTTTGACACAATTTCTTCATTCTTCTCCCTAACGTGAAAGATTTACTTAAAAGAAAACAAAAAACCCAAACAAACCAAAATAGCCCCCCTCCCAACTACCCTATTATTCCTCAAAACAGTCAACTACATCAGACAAACTGTTGGGAAAAAAACTCTCGGGAAAGCAATCCTGCAGTGGCGAGGGGTGAGATACAGGCATTTATCAACTAACTTCTAGCACAGCAAAAACCATCACAGGGCATAAAAACATCCAACTCGCAGACTTTAGAGGTTGAAGCATTTTGTTCTGTTGGCAGCTGTCGCTTAAAAATGCAGATTAGCTGCTTGGGTAAACTTACGGCAGTGTGGCCACCACATCCACACGCAGCCAGCCAGCGTGTGTGCCGTCTCAGGCATCCAGGCCCCGGTGGACTTCACAGGGAGGAAGGGCAGAAATGAGGTTGAGATCACTGGAGAGGGGAAAGAGAGACAATCAGTTTGAGCTTCACACATCCGTCAAATCCCAGACACGACGACAGCTGATGAGACGAGGGAAAGCATCGTTCTAAGGGGAACGTCTGTTTTCCGTAGCATATTTTATATGAAAAAAAAAAAAAAAGAAAAAAAAATTTAAATCTCCCATTATTAAACCATATTGTACGTAAATGACCGAAAACAAAGCTATTACCAATGTGAAGTGTATTCTCTTGATTGTTATGATCTGATGCCTCTCGTGAACACAAGCTCCAGTATAACATACAATGTACATATTTAGCTATACTTCTGATGAAAATGCCCCAATGAACAGAGGGGTTTGATAATGTAAACCACGTAAGCTTAACTCTGTGACAAGCTTTTTATTTTTTTTTATTATTTTTTAACTTTTTTGTTGTTGGGGTTTTTCTTTTTTTTTTTTTTTTGATCAAGCCAATTGTATCTTTACTGCAAAAGTCCTGCTTTAAAGAAAAAACAATGAAACAAATAAAAATGGATATTTTTTTTTTCTAAACACATAATTCAAATATTTGATAATGAATTGAGAACCAAGCAGCCATGAAAATCCTGCTTTCCTCCTTTTTCTGGTCTGCGTAGGCATATAGGTGCACTTTGTAAAGAAGTGGAAATAAACGGGAAACTAAATTGGTTGGGAGAAATCATAAGAATTTTTAGTCTACTGAGGTAAAAAATTGGGTCCTCTTTACTTTTTACCTTTTACAATGGTACAGTTGTACATTATTTGTACCCAACTCAAATTTCTGTAGGATTTGGGCAGGGGGGAGGGGAAGGGGTGTGGGTGGAAGACAGGGATACAGTTGACAAAGTGCAATATATTGTCAGTCACTGCAGCATAGACAACAGCAGTCGAGATTTAAATTATTTTGTACTTGTATCAGCATAAAAAAATTCTGCAGTATTTTCTGTTTTTATTTTATTTTTTTTATTTTGCTTATTTTTGGATTAGTGAACTAAGTTATTGTTAATTATGTACAACATGTTTATATATTGTCTGTAAAAAGTGTATGCTTTCCTCATATTCCTTCAAGGTGAATATTGCTAAGAATAATAAAATACCTTTTTTGTGAAAGTACCTGTGCCCAGCTTCATGTCATAAAGGCTGCTTTTAATAGGGAGAGAGGAAAAATTATCGTCGTCATTGTTGCCAGTAGAATTACTAGCTTAAACTTTATGCAGAGCAGTCTATTGATATTTCAAAAACCTACCAGGGTAGGACAAAAAAAGTAGTTGGTGAATGATTTAGTATAAAAAGCACAGGTACAAAAAGCTCATTCTCCGGTGTTGTTTTGGGGTGACAAGGTCACACAGTTAAGTGCACTAAAGTTTCTAAGCCAGTTTAAAAATCTAAGGCAGCAGCCACATTGCAGATGATGAACTGCAGTTTCTCTAGGGCTTTTTGTTGGTTTTTGGGTTGTTTTTTTAAAGTGTTTAGAAAAATATTTTTAATTAAGAACAAGTTTTTAAAAGCACCGTAAACACGGAAAAGCAGCCAGCAGCTTAATGGGTTTCAAGGCAGAGCCAGTATTAGACCGGGCAAAGTTCTCCGTAGGTTCTTGCACTGCTGTAACAGGCAACACCACCGTCAAGCTGGAAACCTATTTCTTACCATTTGGCTCATCTGTGGTGTGAAGGGAGCAAGGGGGGGTGGCCAGCCTGAAGCTGCTCAGTGCTGTCCTGGGAACAAGGGGTGCAACTGTGGGTGCAGGGGGTGTGCATGTGGGCTGGCGTATGAGGATGGAGAAGAGTGCTTACCAGGCAGCTCTCCCATGGCCAAAACTTTTGGTTGCTTTCATCATACAGTTGAGTCTGACCCACACAATGAACTCCGTGAGGCCTTACAAAGTGAAGTCTCGCAAAGTCCCCCCGCCACATGTAGGGGTGAGTAGTGCTGCTACTAAACCAGTATTTTCAAGAAAACTGCTAATGAACTTTGGGTTTCCTCCTTTGACCCCCCCGGGAGTTGCGTCTCACTTCTGTGGAAACCAACTTGGGGATAACTCCTTACTCATTAAGAAAAAAAATAACCTCAGTTCCTTTTTCAGTGTGTGCGCGCAAATTCTAGCCCTTACTATCACTGCTTCTCTTTCACGGTGCAGCCTACGCTCCAGCCCTGTTTGCAAGCCCTGCTCATGAATGACAAGGAGTTGCAGCCGCTCTAGATGTGCTGAAGAAAGCACAACACGCAAGCAGGACGAGGCCTTCCCGCATCATTTCAGACGAGTTAATCATCTCTCTAACTTGTTTAGCAAGGCTTAGTGCAAACACCCATAAAAAAAAAAAAAAGGCAGTTTATAGCATACCGTGAAAGCTTAATTTAAAAAGAAACGTGTTCATTTTCAGACAGGTTTAAAACAGGGTTAAAAGTAAATTCAGCCACTCTCCCTCCATATTTGAATAGCTGAGACGAGAAGAGAACAGGAGAACTAACAACATCACTTTATAATAATTTAGAATAATCAAGCTATTTGCTTTGGTTGCACATTACACACCCGTTCACACTTTGATAATGGCTTACCTTGGTGTTGCCTCTTTGCAGGCGTTTTGCTGGGTTGGTCCGATGCACTCGCAGAATCAGGGCCATAATCCATGATCTTGTCGGGAGGGGTGCTGCAGCCCCCCAGCGCCTGGAGGAACGTGCCTCTTCTGAGCGGAGTCTTCAGCGGTTCCTGCAACACAGATAACAAATAATCCCATGTTTGTCAGGTGGCACTAATCTGTGAAAGATCAAACCATCTCTCTGCAACGCGTGTATCGTGTTTGTCTCCAGACATTTTGCATAGCGGAAGAAAAACAAACAGCAGGGAATGGAAATCGAGCAAGTGTGTAAAGTTCAACGTAAAGTGTAAGCACAGAGCAGATATCGAGGCAACAAATTGGGATTTATGGTCCTTTCACTACGCCCAAACACTGGGGGACAGGCTTTTTGTGCGAGGGGAACCCTGACATTACTTGCCTTTGGTTCCTGTTGTTGGGATTATTGTTTTAAGCCATGCTTAATTGTCATGTCTCCACGGCCACATCAAAAGCCAAGAAGATTAGGTTACAGGGAGTGTTTGATGTCAAAATACAAAATAAATAAAAGGAAAACTGAAAAGGTAGCATATTTTCCGTGATGTCTATTGAGGATTTTGCCTCAAACATTTAGTTGTTTTTTTTTTTTAATTTTGCAAAGGTTGCACTTATAGTGACAAGATTTCATTTACTTACTTCCAAATGACTCCACTGCTTTCCTGCAACAGCTCAAAAGGGTTAATATCCCCTCTTTGATGGCAAACATGGTATAATTAACGCAAACTTCTTAAGTATCCTGGTGACCTGTAGATGGCCACATGAGAATTTTGTTATTTACTGACTTGCCAAACGTTTATTGCTTATAGCAGGACAAGTGGGAAGCAGGCATTAATTTTGATGCTGTTATCTGTGATTGTGTGTAAAGTTCATAGCAGAGAGTGCCTGTATGTCAACTGCAATTAAACATTTCCCTATTTTTTTTAATGAATTTCACGTTGGTGGAGGGGGTTGGACTGGCAGCTTTGCAAACTGAAATCCTGCCCATCTGCAGGTCAGGAATGACATAGCCAGACACAGGACAACTTCCCCTTACCTGCAGGCTGCAAAAGAAAACAGTCTGGCGCCATGGAGCATTTGATCCTTGGCTTCTCCACAGAGACAGTCAAATCAGTACCAACTGTGGCAGGGCACAGAGGGAGATTTTGTGGTGTGACATCTCCCCTTGGAAACCAGCCTGAAAAACACCAAAAATGAAGCCAAAAGTGGCTATCAGGTGAATGTGTTCATTTATCACCAACCTGGACTGGATTAGAATGCGTGACCTAGAAGTAAAACGCTTTGTTTAGCCCAACTCCCTGGGCCATCTGGTCCTCGCAAGTAAACATTTCTAAGTGAGATTAAGTGACTGTTCTTTAAGCATGGTGATATGAGTGCAAACCAGGCTGCTCTGGATCTGACAGATCAAACCTTAGCATCAGAGAAGCTGGCTAGTGCCGATTCAGAGACACCATTTGCTTAAACAGCTTTGGGTGCAATTCTCCGTGGTGCTGGCTTTGCAGTCAGTCCTGATTCAGTCTGATGTGTCCCTGTCAGATCCAAGGCTCAGATTGCACCAAGGTGCTGGCTAGGAGGTCAAGGACCCCCATCAGAGGAAACTTACGGGAGATCCTTGCAGTAAGAACTACACTGCACTTGCAATAAGAAACCAGTTGCATTTCTGAGCACCAAAAGCTCAGGTGAGCAAAATGCAGTCGCAGGG